ATCTCTATTTTTAAAGCATAAATCCTGTCTTAACTTTGGAGGAGAGCTGATTGGCCTTGAGTTTTTCTCAGACATGGGAACTTTTAACCAAAGGTCAGTCTTTCAGATTATTGGAAGAGGACTCTGAGGTCCCAGAGAGCCTACTGAATGAAAGTGGGTAACGTTTCTAGTTCAGTACTGACTCCTACCTACTGGCCATGTCAACTTGGATAAGTCAGCTATGTCGCCCTTAGCTTCTTCATCTGTAGCTTACAGCGATTAGATAATCTCCAAAGAAGGCTTCGATCCCATTGATATGTAATAATATTAGCTAATATGTGTAGAACACTTACTGTGCCTCAGGTACTGTTTCAAGTGATTCTCCTCTTGATGTAAGAGCTTTATTATTATTTTTTTGTCTTTAAATATTCACTTTAAAAAAATTTTTTTATTGTTAGTTTCAGGCATACAGAACAATGCAATAGTTATCCTTTTCACCCTCACACAGAAACAACCTCCCTCCCCCATCTACTGCCCTCCCACCCCCGAGATCATACTTATCTATTACAATTTCATTGACTCCATTCCCACACTCTACTCCATGTCCCGTGACTATATGTATATATAATTATATTTGACATACAATATTATTCAACATCAGCTTCAGAAATACAGTGCGGTGGTCAGGCCTCTACACCGACTATGAAGTGCTCTCCCTAACAAGACATGAGCCCATCTGGCCCCCTAAAAAATATTTACAACATTATTGATTATATTCTCCAGATTGTCTTTTCTATCCCTGAGACCATATTGTAGTTACCAATTTGTATTGTCTCGTCCCTTCCCCTTCTCCTTCATCCTCACCCCCTCCCAACTAGCAACCCTCAGTTTTTCCTCTGTGTCTCTGAGACTATATATAAGAGCTTTATTGAGATAATTTGCACACCGTATAATTTGTTCTTTTGAAGTATAGAATTCATTGGTATTTAGCATATTCGCAGATATGTGTCACCATCACCACGATCAATTTTGGAACATTTTATCACTACAAAATAAACCCTATACCCAGTACCAGTTACTCCTCAACCCCTCCCAGCACTAGGCAACTACTAATCTAATTTCCATCTCTATAGATTTGTCTATCAATGGAAACACATAATATGGGGTCATTTGTGATTTGCTTCTTTCACTTAATTTTTTTTTGTTTAGTTTTGGTTTTTTTTTTTAAAGATTTTTATTGGGGAATTGGGGAAGGGGAACAGCCAAGTTATTGTCCTTCAGTCTTAGCTGTGGATGGCACAGCTAGCTCAGCTCCAAGTCCAGTCGCCATGTGGGCGCCTGTTGGCAGCTCATGGCCGCTCAGCTCAAGATGCCGTGTTCAATCTTAGTTGTGGGTGGGCGTAGCCCACCATCCCATGCAGGAGTTGAACCAGCAACCTTGTTGTTAGGAGCACCTGCTCTCACCAGCTGAGCCATCCTGCCGCCTGGTGGCATCTCAGCAGCAGCTCAGCTCGGTCGCAGCTCACTGGCCCATGTGAGAATCGAACCGGCGACGCTGTTGCTTAGAGCTCGCTCTCTTAACCAACTGAGACACTCGGCTGGCCCCTTTCACTTAATGTTTTCAAAGTACATTCATGTTGTTGAAGGTATCAATACTTCATTCCTTTTCATGGCTGAATGATATTCCATTGTCTGGATTTACCACATTTTATTTATTCAAGTCATCTGTTAATTGACACTTGGACTGCTTCTACTTTCTTGGCTATTATGAATAACACTGCTATGACCGTTCTTGTACAAGTTCTTATGTGGACATACGTTTTCATTTCTCTTGGGTATATACTTAGGAGAGGAATTGCTGGGTGATATGGCAATTGTGTTTAGCCTCAGGAACTTCCAGATGGTATTCCAAAGTGGCTACACTATTCCCATTCCAACCTGAAGTCTGAGAGGGTTCCAGTTTCTCCACATCCTCGCCAACACTTGTTATTATCTATCTTTTTTATTATAGTCATCCTAGTGGGTGCGAAGTAATGTCTCATGTTGCTTTTGATTTGGATTTCCCTAATGACTAATGATGTTGAACATCTTTTCATGGGCTTATTGTCCATTTGTATGTCTTCTTTGGAGAAATGTCTATTCAGATCCTTTATCCATTTTGTAAAATTGGATTATTTGCCTTTTTATTATTATATTATGTAGTATATTGCATTTTTATTGTTGTGAAAATTCTTTCTATATCCTAGATACAAGTCTCTTATCAGATATGTGATTTGCAAATATTTTCTCCCATGCTGTGGGCTGTCTTTTTACATTCTTGATGGTGTCCTGTGACCCCTAAATATATATATTTTTTAGCTGAGCCATCCTGCCACCTGTTGGCAGCTCAGCAGCAACTCAGCTCAGGCTGGGAATCGAACCGGCAACCCTGTTGCTCAGAGCTCGCACTCTTGAGCGAGCTCTTAACAAGCTGAGCCACTCGGCCGGCCTGACCCCTAAATATTTTTAATTTTGATAAAGTCCACCTATTTTATTTTTTCTTTTGTTGCTTGTGCTTTTGGTCCTATTTAAGAAAGCTTTGTCTACCCTAAGTCACAGAGATTTACTCTTGTGTTTTCTTCTTAGAGTTTTTTAATTTTAACTCTTATATTTTGAGTTAATTTTTGTGTATGCTGTGAGGAAGGGGGTCCAACTTTACTCTTTTGCATGTCGATATTCAGTTGTCCCAACACCATCTATTGAATGAAGTGCTTTTTATATCTAAATCATTTCATCTTTACAACACCCCTTTGAGGTAGGTGCTGTTAATTCCCCCAGAGAGGAGAGGTGTAAGTATGTTGCCCAATTCCCTCAGGCATTGCATGGCCAGACCAAGAGCTGAACCCAAGCAGGTTGGCCTCAGAGGCCATGCTTTCACCATGAATTAACCTTTCAACCACCCACCTTCTTCCCTCTCTCCCTATTGGCAGGGAAGAACGACCTCAGAAATAGTCAGTCATAAAAAGAAAACATTTTCTTTCTTATAGATTGTGGTTATGCCGAAATGCTTCTGTTTTCTTCATTTGCCTATGGTTGCTGAATTCAGTTCGTTGTAGCATTGGCTCATAGAAATTCAGGGTCACAGTTTCAAATCCTTATAGCTTGGCTTCAAGGGCTTCATCACTTCCCTGCCACCCTAGTGAATAATCTTTAGCTTTAGTCACCAGAGAGATCAAGTTAGGGGAGGAGAACCATTACCGGTTCTAGAACATTCCCCAGACCACAAAGCCTCTAAAAAAGGGCGGGGGGGGGGGAGGCAGGAGACCTATTTCCCTCCCCAACTCTAAACCCCTGCCTTTAACTTTTCTAAAAAATGTTTCTATTAAGAGCTCTAGACTAGGACCTCAGACCTCTATTCTTGTTCAGGGGCCCCTACGTGGGCCCTGTGTAGTTTGCCCCTCACTTTATCAGAGTTAGAGGTTGGCTTACCGAATTCACCATTCTCTGACTCATTGGTCCATGTGTTAGACGTTCGTAGGATTAAACAGATGTGTGAGTAATAGGATCGTTTTTTAAAAACCCGAGTCTATAAAAATTTTCATAATCTTTCTCAAGTTTACTTAGTGATTCATCTGCTTGAATGGATTAAGTAACAAATACCAGGAGAAACAGAATTCTCTTCAGTCAAGCTTTCAATTACCCACCCCCTCTCTGCCCCCCATGAAGTGATTTCCTTTGGTCTCTGGGTAATTTTTTTGGCCACTTTGTTTGTAACTATTTACATGACTGCCAATATATTAAGAGAAACCTGCCATGTTCCAGTGTAACAGAGCAGATGTAAAATGCCACAGTAGCTTGTGGGAAGAAAGGAACAAAGCAAGGTGGATGGCTTTCTTTCCCAACCACCAGGCTGGAGACGCCTTGAAAGCAGGGACTCTGTCTCTTTTACTCACTGCCATAGCCCGGTGCCTCGTGTGAGACCCAGTAAGTGTTTTGAGTGAGAGACAGAAACCTTAAGAGGCATTTCAAAGAGGCCAAATACTTAGTCATACTATACTTCAAGTAGGAGAATGTTCCATGACAGTCTCTGGCGGTAAAGCTGGTCGGCTTCTCTTCTAATAGCTAAGGTACTTGGTAGCAAGGAGAGAGAAAGGAAAAAGCCTGGTGTATAAGTGACACAGGAACACACTGTGGGGAGTTGGGGTGAAGTTTGATGTGCTAGTTTCATTTTTCATAAAAGGGGAGCATCAAGGGGAAGGAAGCAATGCTGTAACTCTAGAGAGGAGGAGGAAGACATGGAAGGGTTGGTAAGTTTAGTTAGTGATAATGCCACCCCGTTTTCAGGTAGCTTTTTAGATTTATATTGCCCTTTACTCATGATGTGGCCCTGACAACAGCCTGGAGAGGTGGGCTGAGCAGATAGAATCAGCCTCATTTAACAGGCGAGGAAGCTGATTCGGAGCCTGGAATTCACCGTGTGTTAAAGAGCTTACAGGTAGTGAGGTGGGCGCTTGCCTTACATCTTCAGACTTGAAGTTTAATCTTTTTCTGATGCCCTCCACCCCCACCTAGCTTACCCAAACAATCATCCCCAGGGATTAAAAAAAAAAGGAATGTAAATTTAATTAGGTAATCTTTTATCTGTCCTTCTCATTAATCTAGCGTGGAGCTGGGGTAAACCTAATACGCCTCCCCTCCTTCTTTTTGGAACCAGGGAATAGGTGTCCTCTGAGTAGAGAAACAGAGATTTATCTTCACTGGGATTTTATTTCATAAAACACTTTGAAATACTTGTGAGGTAACTGTGAAAGCACGCCATTGGCATAATGAGCTACTTGAGCTGTCTAGCTATGATGGAAGCAAGAGCAGACAGAAGACGGGGAATTGTTTTTCACATGGCGAGCCCTGGGTTGACCAGCTGCTGGCTCTTGAACTGAAACAATGAAGCAGGTCTGTTGTGATGAGCATGTCCCATGGTGAGAAGAGCAGACCCTTGGTCCTGTGTGAGGATTCATCGTTGCCTCTTGTTCTCCCCTTACCAGGCTTTGAAGGGAGCACCTGTGAGCGGAACATTGATGACTGCCCCAACCACAGGTGTCAGAATGGAGGCGTTTGTGTGGATGGGGTCAACACCTACAACTGCCGCTGCCCACCTCAGTGGACAGGTATGTACCGTGTGGCGAGTCGACCCGAAGGGGGCATGGATTGGGCCCCAGAGGCGGGCTGTTCCTGAAGTGAGCGCCTTCGGAGCGGCCTCTCTGCTACATCACTGGGGGCTGTGTATGTTCTCCTGTGTGCACGGGGGCAGCTGCCCTGCACTCGGCTCCGTGCTCGGTGCTGTGGCAGACCTGAGAGAAGAGCGTTATGGACAGACCTAAGGTTATTTGGGAAAAGCAGCCAGGACATTCCCTGGACCATAGCAGATGCTTGATACATATTTGAGAGGAAAGGAGCATACGTGAATGCGAAACTACAAATGTTCTCACCACACACACACACACACACACACACACACACACACACACACACACACGGTAACTAGGTGAGGGAATAGATGTGTTAACCATATTGTGGTGATTGTTTTGCAATATATACATGTATCACATCATCACGTTGTGTAACCTAAACTCACGTTGTATATCAAATAAAGCTGGGGAAAAAGAAACTACAACTTATCAAGTTTTGGTGTAGGATCAAAGAATATTCATCATTAGATGAAAAGGCTATTAGAATAGTTCTCCTTCTTCCAACTAAAAAAAAGTTATAGAGACAGACTGCAGGAGTTCAGAGCTTCCTGTTTGTTCAGACGGAACTTTCTCTCATCTTCTTGTCGTGTCCTGTAATGATGCAAAGGCCCGAGCAGGTACTCCTGATGACATTATTTTTATGACATCCATTGTTTTCCTTTTCTGTGTCCCTTTTTTGCACATAGGGACACACACAGATTTTTCTGCCTCTGGCATTAGACGAGTGGCCTTGCTTCCTTTTACAACCTCTGGGAAGTTTCTGATGTTGTTGTCTTAGGCAGATTTTCCACTTCTGTTTGAAAGCGAAGTGATTTGATGCAGACAGTTGGTTCCAATTTCTGTTTATTTATCCAACTCAAAGTGGAGACAATTAAGAACTGGTTAAGTGATTAAGAAGTGAGCCTTTTTGAGAGGAACTGATTGATTTAATGTGGAAAGCCAAGAATAAGTTATGGGACGAGGAAGAAACGGCCGCACCACAATGGGTGGTGCCCAGCAGAGAAGCCTTGATGCTGGATGGCTGCCAGTCCCACCTGCCAGTGCTTCTGGGGCTCTGGAGAGCGTCCCCTCCTGGGCAGCAGCTAGTTATTCAGAGTCCTTTTTCGAGCTGTAGACAATGAATAAAAAAGATGAAAAGGGTTTAAAACTTCGATAACCTGATTTCCTCAAAGGGCACACTTTTCTGCTTTTAATCCTCAAACTGTCCTTTTTCATACTTTCCCACCGGCTTTGCCTAGAATTGGACTTCCCCTAGAATTTCTCCTGGGTGTCTGGACCCTCGGACCTTACTCCCAACCAACACCCTGCGCTTTCTGTCATGCTCTCTCTTTAGCTTTTGCCATTTCTTTGGTAGATTGTTCAGAGGCTTTTTTTTTTCCAACTTAAAAATTGCTGTGAAGTTACCTACATGACAAATAATAACTGGGGAGGTTTGAATTTTCCTCTGTTTAACGATCTTCACAGAAGTATTGGGTGGAATAAGAAAAATGTGTTAGGAACTTGGCCCCATCTGCTCCCTCCCTTGCCCTGCAGGAGCGTGACTCTGCATGGCACTGGCACTGCGTGGCCAGTCAAGATGAAATGATATTGTGATTTCATTGCTGATCTTTCTTTGATGCCACACTCAGGTTCCTGCTTTGATATTAATCAGGAAGGCCCAGTCTTGGGGAACTTACCCAGGGAAATGATCGTTTACCAAAATTTCTTACCTGAGGATGTTTCATAAATACCTGTTTTGTGTGCAAGTCCTTCTTAGATGTTTCGTTCTCCTTGTCTTCTATCTTCTAACACGGATGGCAGAAAGGATGGTGGATAAGCTCAGGGCGGCAACATTTATTTCTTTTGATCGGCCGTCATTCTAAGCGGCCCTTGGTCTTTGGTTTTGTACCACAAGTTTCCTTCCTCTATTTCACTCGCGCCGGCTCTTTGATTTCCAGTGACAACCTTGTCTTTTACTATCCCCATCACCAACAGGACAAAGCCCAAGGTTCTTGCACCGCATATAAGTGAGGTCCTTCCTGGCCTCAGCCCTGTCCGCCTGTCCAGTCTTCTCATGCACCCAACAGCCCTTCATATCCCAGCAATAAGGACGGTTCCCAGTTCTCCTGGGTCTGCCACATCCTGTGTCTCCATTCACACCGTCCCTTTTTCTCTAGGTTTCCTCGGGGCTCCCTTATTATCCCCCACATGCCTCTGCGATAATGCTCACCATATTAATACTGCCATTATTATATGCTTGTGGGGAGGGAAGTACCGAGTTGTGGGTGGTTGAATGGTTGATGGCCCTGGTTACTAGAGCGCTTTGCAGACCTTCGTTCTCAGTAGCATGTAGCTGAGCTGTTTACCAGCCCAGCCCCCTCCCCATTCTGAGAAGAATAGAAAGAAAACTTTGGGGAGCAGCGTTTCTGTTGCTACTGATATTAGAGCTGTAAATTCAGATTAGTATTTTCTGCTTTACACAAATTAAAGATGAATAGGGCTGGGAGCTGGGAGTTACCTAATGTTTATTAACACCCAAATATGGTGCAAATTACAGTGTTTTATTTTGTGTGATCTTTGTAATAACTGTATGAGGGGTAGAGTTTATTAAATATCCTTTTTACAGATGATGGTGGAGATTCAGAAGGGTTAAACAGTTTCCTCAAGGCACGTGGTGGTTAGGTTAGCATTTGAATCCATGTTTGTTGAACTCTACGAGTAAGTCTGTGGTCTTTTTCCTGAACAAGTTGACTCTGTGTTGTCTTTTGAAATTTTTTTTAAGGACTTTGATTGAACTTTTTAATTGCTTGAAAGTTCAATTTATAGTTATATTATTCTAGGATATGGTGATTTGCTCTTTGGGTTTTTTCCCTTTTTAAAAATTTACCTGGTTACTTTGAGATTAGAGGTTACTATTAAGTGACTGTTTCATGTTCAGTCTGGTGGTTTTTCCACTATACCTGAAAGCCTTATTACGGCTTTGTTAGAACCCCTTTTACTGTGTCCAGCTGTACAGTTGACGCATGCATGGTCTGGTCTGGCTTTTGACAAAATAGAAAAGGAAGGGTTAGAGTTGGCGACTAGGAGAGGAAATGAAGTTGCCAATAGCTGGAAAAGAATAGGCGAGATTCTACAGCTGGAAAAACTAGGTATCGATTTGTAATAAATGGAGACGTGGGCAATTTGGCACATTTTAAATGACAAGAGCCTGATAGATGCTGCCTTGTTTTATGGCTTGGCCTTTTTTAGCAAGTTCTGGACTTCAGGGTGACCAAAATTTTTTTCAAGTCTATTTATGGTTTGATTTGAGGTAAATGAGACAGCCTCCCTTTTTTTTTTTTTTTTGAAAGGCTTTATTTGCCATTCATGGGACCAATATTGCTTAGTTACTTTATTGTGGTATTGGGCGAATAAATGCTGCAATAAAGAGCTTTCAGAGTCTTTCATTTACTCAGCAAACAATTCTCATGTGGAAGATTCTAGACCATGCTGTTTGATAGGGTAGCCAGTAGCCACGTCTTGCCATGAAGCATCTGAAATGTGACTCGTCTCAACTGAGATGTGTGCCACAGCCTTAAAATACCTGATTTTGAAGAGGTAGTATGAAAAAAAAAAAAGTAAAATGTGTCAGTAATTGTTTTAAATATTAGATGCTAAAATGGTGTTTTAGATACATTGAGTTAAATAAAATACAATATTAAAGTTAATTTTACCAGTTTCCTTTTCCCTTTCTAAGTGCTACGTCTGGGTCTCTTAGGATGTTTCTATTGGACAACAGTCCTTTAGATGCAAAGGTGGTCAATAGGTGTCGCTGCAACTGTGCAGGCGCCTCCTCTCTGACCCTGGGTGGGTGAGGATGGACTTGTAGCCCTCCATAGGGGGCGTCTTGGGTTGGCCTCACTCGAGGGAAGCATGTTGGCCTTGTTCCGGTGTGGCTTCCACATCAGTTGTGGACAGAACTGTTTTCTATCCAACACAGAGCCTCTTGACCTGCCATGGCTGTCTCGAACAGTATTCGTTTGTGCTTTTAACAGCTACCACTCTTCTGGACGAGCGGAAGCCCAGGTGGAAGAAAGAAAGGGTGCTGGGGCTGGACAAATGCTTCACTTTTTTACTGGGATCTTGTTATAGAGATAAGCTCCTTTACAAAATGGAAGTATACCTAAGGGTTTGACGATGCCTGAGCACAAATGTTTTTACTATTACTGTATTTGGCCCCAAGCCATCTTGTGGGAGAAGTTCTGCTCTGGCAGATATCCACTTAAGAAACAAAATAAAACAAAAAAAAAGTTATAAAAGACCCCCAAATTAATTAAAGCAGTGTAGATTAATGTTTTGTCTATGTAGACTGCTATTTGAATTTTCTCTTTAAAGGTTCATTTCCTTCAGAATTAAAGTTGCCTCTCTAAGCTCAACTCACAAATTCCTCTCTGGCAGCTTTTGGTTTTGGGTTCACTCCTAGGGCAGACGTGATTTATTCTCCTGTGCTTGTTATTAACCCAGAAATGTAATTTCAGCTTGGGCTTGGAATAGTGTTTGGGGACACTAAGCAGAAGGGAACAATGGAGGTTAGGTGGACGTGAGTCAAATAAAACCGACCACATTTTCTCCCAGCTCTCCTTTACAGCTTGATGAGCCTAAAGAGTGGCTTACGACTCCCTTTGCTGTTGGTTGCTCCAATTTCTCTAAAAATTTTTGGCATAAATCACCAAATACATCCCGCCAGAGATGGTGCATGAACTCCTTTTGTCTGGGAATGGGGTCCTTTCACGGCGGTATTTGGATTTTGAACTAAATGCCCCATTTCGATCTAGCCTTTCATTGGTTATCAACTATTCTCTAGGATGAGGCTTTTCTCACAACCACTTTTCTGCGTGTTTTTTTTTTTTAATCCTGTAGGAATGGAGCTTTTTGGTTGAGAGTGGAAACAATTTCATTAT